CAATCCCTTCTCCTCCATTCTCCTTTCGGGATCTTGGGCACGCTCGCACATGCGCCCGGCATGAGTTTTAAGCCACCGGGGCTGGGATGCGAACCGCAGTCAACTACGTGGGAATCCAGCGACATAGCCATTACGCTAACTGCTGGTTCCCTATAGTTGTTTTTAACAGTGGCATTTTAGTCTGTTTTTCTCTCAGTAACAACTGAATACCACTCTGAGAAATCCTTGAGAAAAATTTTGGAACTTTTCTCTCCTGTAACTTTATTCTTTCCTCTGTTGTTCTTTTTTTTCCCCTATAAAATAAAATCCTAAACTCCATCCTTTCAGAGCACTGGTGCACTTTGCTGAGGTCTTTGCTCCCTGTTCATTCTCACACTCCGGCTTGAGTAAACCTTTTTGCTTGCTTGACAAACTTGGGTTTGATCCTCTATTTCAGGTTGACACAGGTCATGCAAAAATAACCCTAGAGCCTAATTTGATCTGTGGACCATATTCTGCCCATACCTGCTTTATACCTTCACTGAATAGAAAACATAGCTTTTAGTAAATGCCTTCTTTCAATGGATTGTTGCTTTCCCCAGTCTCATCCTTGTTCTCCTGTAGTCTCTAGCCAATGTGACATTCAGAGAGATCCTTTTGAAACATAACTCAAATTCTCTTAGTCAGATCTTTTCAATGGCTTACTCCCTGAAAACAAAGCCAAAATCCCCCAAATGCCTCCAAGGACCTAGCAATGTGGGTGTTCCATTTCCTTTCTGTCTTCATTTTCTTCTCCTTTCCATTCCGCTCTTTCTGTTCCCCCCTACACACACACACACTGATGTCCTTTGCTCCCTGAATATTCTAGGCATACTTTTACTTTATGGCCTCCCTGTGTGGTTGTTTCCTCTGTAATACTCAATCCCCAGATAGGCATATCATTCTCCTACAACCCAGTCATGTTCCTTTCTGAATTTTTACCTTCCCCATAAGGTCTTGACTGATCAGTTAATTTCAAATTGCAACCTTCTTCCACTAACACTCTCAATCTCATTCTTGCTTTCTATTTGTCCCTAGTATTGACTTCCTGTACTACTTATTTTACTCATTTAGCCAATGTTTAGGTATATGTTCATATATATATTTTTAATGAATTTGTTTCTTTCTTTGTCCCTCCAACTAGTTTGGCAGGATATTTATCTGTTTCTTTCACTGCTGTATTCTCTGAACACCTATAAAACCACAGAAGAACAGTACCTGGAAAATCAATACATTTTCTTGATTGAATGCATAAATTAATAAATGAATCCCCCAGGGATTTTGAGTTGAGGACTGGTGAAAAGGGAAAGGTAGAATAGTTGGGGAAGGGTATTATAAGAAGCAAAATTTGGAGTTCTCTACATATATCCTAATATGTAAGTTTTTGTTAATTTAAGTAGTTTCAATGTGGCAGGGGTTAGGAATTAGTTTAGAGAGACACATCACCAAGATTTTTAGAGTGCATGCTGTGGAATTCTTGATAACCACATAAAAATTTTGGGAAAAAAAAACCTCATTAGGATGTATATGAGTGTTTTTTTCAGTAAGTTCATGGAAAATTGTGTATTAAAAAACAAACAAACAAACAACAACTATGGAATAGATTTCAAACCATGGTTTTCCCCAAAATAAGCTCAAACTTTAATCCTATTTTTCCACTAACTTAGAAGTCTGGTATACCACAATTAACATATTAATGATTTACAGAAGCCCCTTAAAGTAGGGATTGCAAATATCAATATCCTGCTTTTATTGCTGAGTTTAATTTGCTTAAAGTTGCATCACAATTTAGTTATAGATGTGAAATTGTGCTCAGAATGTTTGAGCAGGTCTTTTCTAGAAAACTATAGCTTAATAAGGTACTAGTAGCCCATCAAGATTCATTTAACTTCTAATATTGCAGATAGTACAGAACCAATTGTGGGCTGTCTGTTTTAATGAAAGGAAGAAGAGATTTAGTTAGCACAAAACAAAGGAAATATTAAGTGTTGTTTTCTATTAACATTATTAATGGAAAAAGTATGCTCCAGCTGCCTTCAGACAATCTGGGACAGTTACGTCTGCACTATGACTGCCTTTCTCTGTCCCTGAGACAAATTCCCTTAACACACCACTAACTTAGTGAAGCAGATAAGGCACATTTGGGCAATTAGGAATTCTTAAGCTTAATTTTTCCAGAACTCTTGCTATTAAAATGAATATTGTAGGTCTAGTTGCTTTCTGCTATAAAAAAGTTGTTTGAGTCTTCATTTTATGGTGACTGAAATGAACTCATTTTGTCTCATGGCTTCCCGTATACTTCTGTTCGGTCTGTTTTGTGTTTGGAAAATATCAAGTAGAAATTAAAAAATCAAGATTAAAAAAATGGTAACTTACATGGAATATTTGTTAACCTACATGAATGTGCACAATAAATGAAATCTAATCCAAATGTCTATTTTATTTTAGTGTTGTATATCGGGCTGGAACTTTCTAGGTACCAGAAAACAAGAGTTCACTAATCTTATTGGGAACTTCAGTTCACAGACACCTTCAGTGATTAGTTCTGCTTATCTACAGAATCACCTTCAGGTATTACTCTTTGCTATACTCCATCTTAGTTTCCAGAATTTCTCACCATGCCTCTTACTACACCATGATCTAATTTTATCTTTCCAAGCTATGAGTGAAAGCCAGGTCCCAAAATATATATATTTTTTTCCTTGAGTAGAGACCATGGAAATAGAAGGAAAAGGGTCTCAGGACCATCCTCAATAAATGCCAACAGATCTGAAATAGCATCTCTATATTTGTAAGATTTCCAGTATATTTTAATGTGGACAAAAGCACTTTCAGTTACCTTATCACTTGTTCCTAAAAAAATAAAACAAGAAAAAAGGAAACAATTAGGAATTACTATTGTTTGTGTTTTACTATTGCAATCATTTCTCCAACCATCACTGTACATTCCAGGATTATGAGAAACATTAAGTGACAATTTGAATAATGCCTTTCATTCCACCAAGAATTTCTCTTTTTCTGTTGTGCACCCAGAATATTCATTTTGCTCTTCATAACTCAGTTTGCACCTCATTCTTCTCTTCACACACACAAAAAAGTTGTGATCACACTCTTTTCTTTTTTTCTTTTTTTTTTTTTTATAGTTTATTTGCTCACTTTTTCCATGAGGGAGAGAGAGAGAGAGGGAACCACAATAGAGTCCCGATACTGTGATTAACCCCCAGTCTTCAGCCAGCCTCAGATCATGGGCGGGTACATTTCTGGAGTACTCAAGTAGTCTGGAGACAGACTTGAACTGAAAATATTTCCATGTGAGAGTGTCTGGCAGTGTATCATGTTTTACTTCTGTGCCCTCACACTCTCCTTTTTGCCACAATTGCACTTTCACATACTTGGTTTTTGCACTTGCTACCCTATATTATAATTATATTTTTTCACATATAGCCATTCGCTTTTAGACCACAGGTTCTTTGAGGCCAAGACTACTTATTTTTCATCTATCAATGTTGCTTTTACCTTGCTATTTGGTGTGAATAAATTAAAAGTAGCTATGTATTTATCCATTGTACACCAATAAAAGGAAAAAATATCAATAATATTGTTACCTAAAGTTAGTTCTCTAGTAAACTGCAGTGCTTGATTGCAGTTATAATGTTCTTTCTGCTGTTGAGTTGTTGGAAAAGTCATGACACATTTTTGCATAGAAAAAGATGTCATGACTTTTTCAATGATTTAGTATTTTATTTTATACTTTCCTTCCTGTATCTTTTCTTGGTTTCTATCTGTGTCTTTAGGACAAATTCTAGAAAAATAGGTATGAAGGTAGGATTAGCCACAGACCACACTTAGCTAATATAGTAAGAAAATTGTATGTGATTTGAAACTCCTAAAGCATATAAATATCCATCTTCCCTTTGAAGCATATAGAGGTATTTGCTTCTAAAGTGTTTTATTAGCAGTTCATCAAGAAGTTTCACACAAGGCTCCTGATTAGCTATTAGTATACTGATAGTACTTTCTGGTTTGTTTTACATGTTAAGTGTGAGGGATTTTGGGGGAGGATGCACACAGCATGGGAATGCTCCTTTATGCCTGATGCTTCACTGTTGTCAAGAGTACTCCTTAGGGTAATTTCAGGCTGGACTCCCTTACTTACTCTGCCCCTTGCCCTAGATGGGTAAGCGACTTATCTGAAAAGTTCAGAAAAATTAGCTGGGCATGCTTAGCTTCACTAATTCTCCTCTTTCCTTTAAGAGTGTGAGGTGTTTTTTTTTGTTTTTGTTTTTGTTTTTTCTATTTCTGCAATTCTCTGTGTAACAAGTTGGTAAATCTGTCCAAATCCAGAGTTCAGTTACGAGGTCATATATGGCTTTCATTTGAACTAGAGTTCTTAAACCAGGGATATAACCAGAGAAAAGAATATTTTGATCTCACCTTTACTCTTTTATTTCCTAACATTTCTGTAGGGATTTGGATCTGGAGGGATATTGAAAACCCCTAACATTTGGAACATTATCTAGGAACTGAGAAATAAAAAGAAAGGTGCATAATTTTGGAGAGTAAAATTTCACATCAATATAATTTCCACCACTTTCCATGTGGAAAATGTTTTGGTTCTGCATGGAAGGTGGTTTTGTACCTTGATCTTCAATGTGTGGTGGGCTGTTTTGATCTTGACAATTTGGAGCTATTTAAGTTAGGTTAGGCAAGTTTGTATAGTAAACTGGTGAAGCCTGGAGAAAGTTTATTACCTGCTATATTTGTTTCTCGTTCCTGCTATAACAAATTACTCCAAATTTGATAGCCTAAAACAATACAAATTTGCTCTCTTACCATTCTGGAGACCCTAAACCTGAAATCGAAGCATCAGCAGTGCAAGAGTCCTTGCAGACTCTTTGGGGGAGAGTCTACTCTTCAACTATTTTAGCTTCTGGCGGTAATTGGTTTCTTTGGCTTGTGGTCACCAAACTCCAAAGTCTATCTCTCTATTCACATCACCTTCTCTTCTGTGTATATCTTCTTCCTGTTTATTTCACATTTCCCTCTTGTTCTTTCAGAATGGTACTTGGCCCTCCCAGATAATCCAAGATAAAAACCTCATCTCAAGATCCTAAATGTTTCAGGTCAATGACATAGACTAATGGACTTCCCAGTGAGACTACAACCAAAGAGACTGTCTTTTTCTCAAGAAGCATTGGGTTTCTGCTATGTTTTTTGGCCATAGTCTGTACTGGATTCTGAGGGCAACATTTTGCCTAGTTTAATTCCCTTAATGCCTGAGAGTTGGTAAACTTTCTACATTCCTTAATTCTGGGGCTAACAGTGTACATACACACAAAAGTAACTAACTCTTTGGACTCTTTGAAAGCATTGTCCATGAGAGACTTGCATTAAGTTATTAAAACATCTGAGGCCTTAAGAGACTCACATTCCTGTCTATGAAAGAAGTTTGAGCTGTACATACTGAATAAGCCCTCAAATCCATTGCGACACAACGAACCTTGCCACTGAGAATGAACCAAATTAGACATTTGGAGGATTACTTATGGATATTTAGACTTTAGACTTTCAAACCATAATAATAAGCAAATGATTTCAGACTTAGACTTTAACACTTTGGGATCTTAGTTTGTAAATGCTCTTGGTGGCTGATAGATTCTGTGGGGCTGACTCACATGAGAAAGTCACTGGTTCACGTTTAGAGACCACCCTGAATCCTTTGGGGGCAAACATATGTCCATGATCTGGGGCTGGCTGAAGCCAGGGATCAAATGTAGCATTAAGGCCCTGTTGGGGGTTTTCTCTCTCTCACACACACTCACGGGATAAATAAATAAATAAAACCCAAAATACTCTTTAATTTCTTCCTGAAAAAATTTAGTATTGGGGGCCAGTAGATGGCATGGTGGTTATGGCACTGGACACTCCCACATAGCTGATCACAGTTCGAGTCCTAGGCCTGGTGGCTGGCTTTCTCACTTTCCCTCTTTCTTTCTGTCTCTGTCTCTCTCTGGTCAAATTTTTTAAAAAAATGAATAAATAAATATTCTTAAAAATTTGGTATTGGGAAGGGTTTACTTTAATATATGGAACATTTATTTTATGCTCAGCTTATTAGACTGCCCTTATATTATTCATCTTTTTTCTAAATATTTACTTAATTCCATTTGTTGTTATTATTATTTTGATTTGACCAGAGAGAGAGAGAAAGGGAAAGCGAGAAAGTAAGCTACCAGGTCCAGGACTTGAACCACAGTTAGCCATGTGGGAATCTAGTGCCTTTAACCATTCCACCATCTGCCGGCCCCTATAATTCATTTTAATTTGTCATTTAAGCTCATTGTCAAATTTCTGTGGCTAGATACATTTTAGAATAGACGGTTGTTTTTCATGATTGGTTATCAATAACCTTGTAGTTCATTTAATTCACTTTTGTGCCCATTTCAGAAATTTCTCAGATAAAAATATAAATTATTCACCAGCAGTTCCAAGATGCAAACCAAATGAGCAGCTCTATGAAAATGGGAGCAAGTCTATCCTGATAAACTTCTGATTCTTTTTCCTGAAAGGAATTGTTAATACTCCATTGACTATGATGCTAAAGGTAGAGTTAAATGGGTTAAGAGAATTAAAAGCAGGGATATGTTAGGGAAGATATTTTTCCATCTTTATTCCCATCTTTGTTCCCTCCATAAAAAGGAAATTTGATTAGTGCAGTTTGGCATTTCTGTCTTTTACTCATAGACACTGGATAAGTGAAGTGACCTATTTGGTAAAGTTGGAAAGAATAACTGACCATGTTTTGTTCAACTCTTCTTTTCTGCGTATTAGGAGTGAGTCTGCCTATAGAGACAAAAGGTCTGTACTCTTCCATGCTACATGGGCAGAGTCTTACAGACATGCCTCTCCCACATGTGCATGGCTAGAACCACTTGGCTATGACAGAGTGGGTTTGGATTTCATTTCGCAGTTTCAGTTGGCTCTCTTATTAGGCCAAATTCCCCAACGTGGGCTCTATCGGTCAAAAGCTGACATCAGGGTTAGTCAGCCATAATATGTGGGGTCTAATGTAAAATGAAAAGGTAGGACTCCTTGTTCAAAATGCAAGGACAAAGTGCTGCACTGGGTAGACTAGGTTCCGTCCCTAAATTCACGTCCTCCAGGAACTTGTGAACATAACCTTATTTAGAAATAGAATTATTTTCCAGATTAAGTCCAGATAAGGTTATACTGGCTTAGAGTGCTAAAGCCAATGACTTATGTCCTTACAGGGAAAATGATATTTGGAGACAGACAGACACAAGCAAGGAAGACAGCCATGTGATGACAGGATAAGACTTGAAGCGATGCAGGTATAAAATACAAGGCTTGCCAAGGATTTCTCACAGTCACCGAAAGTACTGAGACAAGGAGCAGGGCCAGCCAGGTGGCCTAGTGGTTAAGGCAGCAGAAACACTCATGGCAGACTGCATAGTTTAAATCTTGGAGCCGGCACCTTGTAAAACATTCCCGCCCATGTGCATGTTACTTCCCTGTGTGAGAGAAAAAAGTGGAGAAGAGATTGCCACGTGGTCATCCTCCCTGGAGGATGTTTTCTCACTCGTTCCTCTCTCTCTCCGGCAAGTGCATGTGCCCTATTAAAAAAAAAAAAAAAAAAAAAAAAAAAAAAAAAAAAAAAAAAAAAAAAGAGTCAACGAACAATTCTTCTTTTTCTGAGGTTTTGGAGAGGAGAGAATGTGATCCTTCAGACACCTCGATTGTTGGACTTTTGTCCTGCAGAACTGGAATGAATAAAGTTCTGTTGTTGAAGCACCTAGTTTATGGCATTTTGTTATGGCAAATTTAGGAAAGTAATAAGTACTATAATGTGAAGCTTTTCCTGTTATTTTCTGGCCTCTCAACATTAGTAGATTTTTTATTTTCCCTTGGTTGCAGTTTGGATAATGATTTAGCCTCCACAGTTTCATGGTTTGGAATTTGGTTGGAGTGGGCAGTGATTAGATCATAGTGATTGGTTGTGGAGGCACTGACCTCATTCATAAATTAATGCTGTCTTGTAAGAGGCTGAGTAAGTTCTAGTTACCCTAAGGCAAGGTTAGTTCCCATGAGAACAGGTTATTATAAGACAGAGAGCTAGCTGCTGTTCTTTACCTCTGCACCCATCAATCTTTCAGCTTTGGTTGGCCATGCTGTTGGTTGGCCTGATGTCAGCTGAGTTTCTAGCCATCAGAATCATGAGTAAAATAAACCTGTATTTTCTTTTTTTTTAATAAACCACTCAGTCTCAGGTATTTCTATCAACAATGCTATGGTGGACAAAGACACTAATAATTTTTAAGTAAATTCATTTTAAATTTAAAATTATTAGCATACAATTGACCATTCTTCTTTTTACCAGGTAATGCTGGCTTTATATGTAAGTAGAAGAACATTTACTTGATCTGCAAAATCACAAAAAAGGAATAACACAAAATTTCTATTGTGTATAGGCATGTTCCTTTTTTCTTTTCTATTTTATTTTAACAGTAGAAATGCTGTTAGTCGACTTTTTACTTTACTTTGTGATACGTGCACATTCTACCCAAATTGTCTACCTTAAGCCTACTGATGAGGAGGGAGGTACTAAAGGGAAAAGGAGATGTGGATTGCTCTCTACATCATCATTTTCAGTCTAAGTGGTTCACGAGTACAAAAAAATAGCATGAATAAGAAAGAATATAATGGGAAATGTTGCCTCTTGGAGCTGCCAATCTTTGTTTACTTACTCACAGATGTGTTGATATGAGCATGAGCGCAGAATTCTGATGGGCTGACAATTCATGATTATTCAGAAAGACTCCAAAGGAAGCAGTTATGGTAGCCACATGGCAAGCGTGGAGAACAGTGTCTGTGAATGGGGCAGTGGTTTAGTGGCAGACAAATTACATACATCTCCTCCACTCATTTACATATCCTACTTTTTTTTAAAAATTAACTTCACTTACAAAACACAAGTTGAAAGGTAAGATTATTAAGATAAAAAAGGTAGGGAATTAAAGTGAGTATGGGATCTCCCATTGTGGGGTCCTGGCAGCTGCACTTATTACATGCCCATGAAGCCAGGCTTAGGGAAAATTTTGACTTCCATCTTTATATTTTCAACACATTTCTCACATTATTCAAAATGTGTATGGAGAAATATGCTCTATCTTTCACTACTTTGGAGACTACAGCAACATTTTCTACTAAAGCTGAGACCTCTTATCTCTCCCGCTTCTCAACTCGTCAAGTCACTAAAGGATTTTAATACACGAATAGGGTGGTCTGTCAAAGCAAAGTTTATCACAGTGTAAAGCTTTGAACCACCTGCTTCAGGTTCATCCTCATTTAGTCACAGAATGTACCCACCCCACACACACTTAGCCATAACTAAACTAGTAAGCATAGACAGGATTATGTTTTATAGTTCCCAACTATACCTAGAATAGAAGATGCCTTCTATGAACATGTGTTGATTGATTTTTTTTTTTAAGGTTTTTGCCATAGGGTGTGTTCTCCCAGAGAGAGTAGAGAGAAAGAGAGAAATCATCCCCTGAGTGGGGCTAGCCATGCTGCAATTCCTTTTCCTTCATTCTCCTCCTGGGATTTTGAGCATGCATGCACACAAGTCTGGTGTAATTTTCAAGCCTTGGATTGAAAGGTCTGGGATTCGAACCATGGTCGCCTATGTAGGAGTCCAGAGCCTTAACCACCCATGCTACCTGCTGGCCTATGCCAATTGATTTTTAAACAACTTAAGTACATGTACATTCCCATTTCTCTTTGGAAAATAAGGCTACAACATTCACACATCAAGCTCTTACATATCCTTGAACTCTAAAGGTGTGCAAATATTTGGCACATCCCTCTTTCTGCTGCACCACAGTCCAAGGTGGACCTATCAAAATATAGCCATTGTTTTTAAAGTGCAAAGAAATCATGAAAAAAAAAGAAACTGTTATCAAAAGAACTTTTTTTCACCAAAGTAAAGACTAAAGGTTAAAAAGTCACATTAATGTAGGATTTGTGACTTTTTTAAGTGATAGAGAACACTGACAAGAAATATCACAGGGCTGATTGCTATCATCATCTTTTCACTTTCCATTACAGTTGTTTATATTATTTTCATGGAATTTTACTGAAGTTATCAAGGTTTTTATAATAGTCAAATTAAAAAAAAACAAAATCTCTTGAAATGCCAACACAAAGAAAAATGAGTCAGAACATGAAAAATGTTTTAGACAAGTTGACAACATGTATTCTTTGTTCATTTCTCTTTTTGCGAGAAGTTCCATCTTATTCACACCCACATGTACAATAAAATACAACCAATCACCCTATGGGGATGAAAAGTAAAAGACAAGTTGGTTCTAGAAAACTTTTCTATATTATCCCTAGTATCTCAGTGCATTTGACAAATGAAAGCATTCTGAGACATTCTTCAAAGTTTTGTATGTTTTGTACAGATTTGCTTCATTTCTCATAACACAATCAGTTTTATAAACATTTGTAGACATGTATCTTTTGTAACATTTAATATTTGAGTATTTCTACTTTTTTATTTTCTTCTCATTGCTCTATAATGATATTTTGGTATTACCTCCCTGTTTCCCCACCTTCATAGATCCCCCACAGTTTGCACATCCACACACATGCCAAACAGCATTTTAGGACAGACTTGGTTGAGTTTGAAAAGCTGTAGAGTATACAGTTTTATATCTCAATATTATTTTTTGAGAGTTTTTTTCTACAGGGCGTGTGCGCTCGCCAGACAGACAGAGAGAGACATAGAGACAGAAAGCGAGAAATCACCCCCCAGAGGGGATGGTCACGCCACAATCCCTTCTTCTCCATTCTCCTCTTGGGATCTTGGGCACGCACACACTAGCCCTGCGTGAGTTTTAAGCCACCGGGTCCGGGACGTGAACCGCGGTCGACTACGTGGGAATCCAGCGACATAGCCATTACGCTAACTGCTGGTTCCCTATATCTCAATATTTTTGAAGCACTTTTCAGATGTAATCTTAGTTTGAACCCAAGTTCCCGTGATGTATAAAGTGCATTTCAAACATACCTGAAGTCTATTTACAAGAGCAACTAGAAAACAATTGGAGAAAGAAATTGTTATATCTTAGAACTGGATACAGTAGATCAATGCAAAAGAAGACAGTTCCTATAAACAGACCCACATATATGTGGACAACAGATTTTCAACAGAAGTGCAAAGGCAATTCAGTGAAAAAGGCAGAGTCCTTTTGATAAACGGTGTTGAATCGATGTAATGTACGGGCACGGACTGCGAAGGCTGTCATAACATACCAAAAATGTGAACTTTATCCCCGCCCCCCTGCCATATAAATATTAACTCAAAAAGATTAAAAACCAACACATGAAACATAATCTATATCTTTTCTATATGAAATATGGGATAAAATTCTTTGTAGCCTACGGTTAAGCAAAGATTTCCTAGAGACAGTGTCAAAACCAAGATCCATTTAAGAATGATAAATAAGATTTTATTAAAACTAAAACTTCTCTTTAAATGACATTATTAGAGACTAAAACGACAAAGCATAGATTTGAAGAAAATATTTGCAAATTATGTATTCAAAATCAGTGTATACCATATAAAGAACTCTCAAAACTCTATAATTAATGTTTAAAAATTAAAAACATGAATAAAAGGAATTGGAAAGATATTTCATCAAGGGAGGCATGTAAACAGCAAATAAGCACATAAAAGGTTGCTATTCATAATCCATCATTAACTAAATTAAAATCAGAACTACAAGGAGATAAAACTATATGCTAGTGAAGAGCTAAAATTAACAAATATTGGTGAGACAGTGGGATCTCGACCTCTCCTACATGCTAATGGTATGGACACTTAAGAAAACAGTTTAGCTGTTCATTTAGAAGTTAACCATACACTGACTATATGATCCAGTCTTTCTGTTTTTCATTTTTTTTATATGTTCCTACCAAGTCTTGTACATGAATATTCACAGAAGCTTTATTTTTAAAAAGCAGAAACTATGACCTAGATATCCATTAACAGGTGGGTGAATAAATAAATTACAGTACAATTTATGGAATACTACTCAAATAAAGAAAGGTGTATTGATACCCAGGAAAATATAGATTCCTCTCAAAATAATTATGCTTGGTAAAAGAAGCCAGACAGAAAAGTCTATCTGCATGAATCTATTTACATATAAGATGACTTCAAAAAGTTTGTGAAAAAATGGAATTAAAACATGAGTTTATTTTGGTACAGACAGATTGACATCCATGCCTAGTAATCCGATTTTCCATGAACTTTTTTTAAGACTTCTGGTATGTATCTAGAAAATGACAGTACGTTTGTAGTGACAGAAATAGATCAGCACTTGCTTTGGTATGTGGGTGCACAAGATGGAGAAAGGTGAAGGAGGGTATATGAAGGGGCGTGAAGAAATTTCTGGAAGTGATGAATATGCTCAGTTTTTGGATTGTGTTATTGGTTCCACAGACATATGCCTAAGTCAAAATTCATTAAGTTATATACTTTAA